TCGGGAGGCTGAGGCAGGAGAATTGCTTGAACCCAGGAGACGGAGGTTGTGGTGAGCCGAGATCGCGCCATTGCACTCCAGCCTGGGTAACAAGAACGAAACTCCGTCTCAAAAGAAAAAAAAAAAAAAGTGTTAAAGTAGAGCTATGTATTAGCAAGGTTGAGGTGGGCAGTATTTAAGGGGATGGGAAATTCCACTGTGGGCACTTTCCCTTATTTCCTGGGTAACTCAGTAAAGAAACCTCTCAGAACCTCACCTTATACATCTGTAAAATTGGCCAATACCTTCATCATTATAAATACTACTGGTAAAGTTTAAAACAGTCCTGATCTTTTCCTTCATAAACCCACTTGTTGAAGTTTCCTTGAGCCTGCCCTTCCTTGCAAAAAAAAAAAAAAAAAAAAAAAGTGAGAGGTTGCAGTGAGCCAAGATTGTGCCACTGCACTCTAAATAAAAAAAAAAAAAAAAAAAAAAAAAAAAAAAAAAAAAAAAAAAAAAAATTTTCTTTTCCTATGCCTGTGGCACAGTGCCGACAAAAAGGAACTGCTCAACAATATCTAACATTATTGAACAATTACTAAGTGCCAGGGGCTGTTTAAAGTGCTTTCATGTATCAAATATTTTGATACTCACAAAAACTCCAAGAGAAGAAGGGTTACGGTTAGTCCTACTTGGCAAATTTGGAAGCTGAGGTTCACAGAAGATAGTTTCCCTCTTTCTTTCTTAAAAAAAAAAAAAAGACCTATTTTTCTCAAGAGGTAAAGAACGTGGGCTTCGGACTCAGATTAAACTGGGTTTGAATACTGGTTGGTCACTTACTAAATATGTTCAGTTGGGCAATTTCTTGCTTAATCTTTAAGTCTCAATTTCCTCACGTGTAATATGGTAATAACAATACCCACTACCGGAATATTGAAATGAGAATTGAAAATAATATCTGTGGCCGGGCGCGGTGGCTCAAGCCTGTAATCCCAGCACTTTGGGAGGCCGAGGTGGGTGGATCACGAAGTCAAGAGATCGAGACCATACTGGTCA